CGAAGTACGTTTCACACTTCATCACCATGGTCAAAGGTCTCTATGTGTGAGGGTTGATCTTGTAACCGCGGATTCAAGGATATCCATGGGTTTACAAAAATGCATAATCACCAATTTTTCACTACAATTGTCTAGCACATATAAACAAACTCACAAAATATCCATATCAATTATTCAGTATTAAAGATAAACATCCACAAACTCACATATTATCCATAATAATTGTTTAATACTAAAGATAAATACACCAAGTTTAGGAAATTTAGGTTAAGTGTTGAGAGATCCATGGGTCATAGGAGCTTGGGTGTACGTACGGGTATCTATAGGTCGGATATGGCTAAATCCAAATCCAACCCAACTCACAAAATAGTAAAGAAAGTTTCAATCCAAACCTGACCCGCAATCCTTTTATCCTCTTTGATCGAGTTGGGGCGGGTAGAATACCCGTGAATCTAAATTTTGTTACCATCCCTGCACACATCATAAAAAAAAAAAAAAGAACTGAATTGGCTCTCTCAAGTCTCACCTCATCTCATATCTGTCTCCCACTCTCTAGGCTAGTGATGGCAATTTGAACCCGCCCCGTGGGTATTATTCGACCCGCGGTAGCATGGGCCGGGGCATGGTTATCTACTTCCGCCTCACCTTGCCCGCCCCGCCACGTTCTTAATTACCCATTTTATTATCAATATTTTTCATTTATAAAGTGTTTTCGCATGCGTTTATCGTAAAAAAATAAAATTTTGCGTGCATTATTTACATATGACATGTAAGAGTGGGTCGACACGCCCCGCACCAAAACTACGCGGATATAACCCACACCCAATGTAGTCAAATGTGCTTTTCTACGCAGAAGCGAAAACATGAGTAAAAACGTAAAACGTAAAAGCGTAGCGTAAAAGCGTAAGTTTTTGTGTATACTTAAATTTATTTTCAACAAAGTACATGTCTCATTTAAAAAGGGCACTACCCATGTAGATAAACTGATTTGACAAACTTTTAATAGTGGAGCAAGCGTACAGCTAAACCAACCATGCAATAAGGAAATAATGAGACTTCTTCATTCATATAAATATAACCAATTAAGAACTACTTCTCATTATGGGCCGTTTTGTTTCAATTTGGATGTCAAATTAAACAGAATTACTTAGACTTCTTTTATTATGAGGTTCTTCATTCATTGAACGCGAGAAATCAGATTATTGGTAAATATTAATCACTTAAGTCGCACATCAAACAATAAAGTAATCACTTGATAAAGTTGAGGTGTAACATCCTCATCCCTCTTGAACATGTCATGTGTCATGGTCGTAGCAAGATGACATCATCCCAATATTTAAACGAATTTCAAAATTTGAACCAGCAGCAAACCTTGAAGGAACCAGTAAATTTAGGGGGAATTAGAGTTGGGGAATTGAGAAGGAAAGAAGAAGTAAATGATGAGATGAAGAGGAGTTGCAGAATTTTCGTTTTACAACAAGGCAGTGAGTTCAAGTGGGGATTCCAAAAACACTAACTGTTGGATCGTACTCAAATTTGGAAAACACATTTCAAAATTTCTAGGATCTGATCTGACCGTTCGAATCGTCGTTATGATCTCTGGTTCATCGCGTAACATTGCTGGTCAGACACGGTGAGACCCTGTTTTCTGGTAGCTGGGTAGTTCGTTCCATGGAGGATTCCAATAAAACCAACCGTTGGATTATCCTCAAACATTTAGAAAAAAGGTTCAATACTTGTTTTGGTTAGATTCAACCGTAGGGATCAATGAATTGAGCACTGGTTTGACGGGGGACAATACCGGACAGAGAGGTGAAATTGGTTGAATCGTTCAATTGGACACGTATAAAATTGCATCAGAAACGCGTTTTTGACCGTTTTTATCATTATTGACCACTTTTTACGTTTTTGCACACAATACGTTTTTATGTAGAAACTGAAGCATTTTGCCTAGCCAGAAACGTAAAAACGTGCATTTCTGCGTTTTAAAACGCGTTTTTTACTACACAAGTACAACCCACACCGACATGCAGTAGCATGAGGCGGGCAATAGGTTTTGAGATATCTGCCCCGCCCTACCCCATTCTCATTACTACTCTAGGCCTAGGCGTAACAAAACCCTCATGGAGATCGATGCTACATTATTTATTCGACCTTCGCTCTGCTCGGCACTTGACCCACCCGACCAGGTCCTTACTTCCTCTTCTCTACATTCACCAAAAACGGAAGTGGCACTCAGCTGCTCTCAAATTGTTCCCATCTCGCGTCGGAGGAACAAATTTTTTCTTCTTTGTGACCTGGAAGTTTCTGTCGCACTTTTAGAGTTTTCTAAGCTGCTCGGATCTTCAGGTGCCTCCCAACTGGTTCGAACAATTATGGATCACTTTTATTCTTTCCTCTAGTTGCTAGATAGTTGTTATTCCTTTGGTCCAGCTGTGTTTTGATGAGGATGTAAATGGCTGGGGAGCTCGTTGCTTTCGTTTCCTTTTGATGATTTTTGTTGCTGGTTTTTTATTGGTAGGCAAATCTTGCATTGCGTAAGAAATTGTAGGTTAATGAGGAACTTCTATCAATGCTCTTTTGTGCTCCTCGAGGGTCATTAGAGAGCTCTGTGTTGTGCAAGTAACTCCTAGTGGTTTTTGCTCTACCGTGACCTCTTTTATCGCTGCATTCTGTATTACTTTCCGCATGAACGTTGGTGACTACTGTATTTAGTAGAAGACACCGAGACTTGAGTTGTAAACCTGATTGTGTAGGTGGATTTGAAGTGTTAAACATATTTGTTTGCGAGCAATGTCATCTGTCATTTATCTATTAGCGTTTTCCCATTGTGAATATCGAATGTGCTTCTATGTTGTCAAGAACTTATTGCAAGCATGACAGTATCTCTATTTCCAATTCTCTCTTTCTTTCCTTGAGGCTGGAATTGCTTATGTATGTTAGTTCCTAAATCGTTTCTCTTACATTTTCTGTTCTTTCAAAAATATTGATGGTTAAGCTTCTTTGGTGCAGTACAGATTCACGACTATGGCTGAAGTTGTCCATGTCCTTGGTGAACATGAGATTGAGTGTGATGCAATTCCTGGTCTTGAGCTTACGGGGAATTCTCCATGAAGATGTGGAGTACTAACGGCTAGACGGTAAGACCCCGTGCACCTTAACTATAGCTTCGCAGTGACAACCTTGATTGAATGTGTAGGATAGGTGGGAGGTGGTGACACAACAAAAAATCCTGAAAGACCACTCTTTCGTCTAAGGATGCCTAACCGCCGCACCAAAAATCTAAATTAGGAAGGGCCCGGGACACTGCGAGGTGGATAGTTTATCTAGGGCGGATGCCTCCTAAAGAATAACGAAGGTGTGCGAAGGTAGGCTCGTGCTAAGATTCTGCTCTTGAGCGTAATGCTATAAGTCTGCCTGACTGTGAGACCGACTGGTCGAACAGATATGAAAGTTGGTCATAGTGATCCGGTAGTCCCGTGTGGAAGGGCTCTCGCTCAACTAATCAAAGGTACGCCGGGGATAACAGGCTGATGACTCCCAAGAGCTCTTATCGACATAATCGTTAGGCACCTGGATGTCGACTCATCACATCCTGGGGTTGAAGAAGTTCCCAAGGGTTCGATTGTTCACTGATTCAAGTGGTATGTCAGTTGGGTTTAGAACGTCGTGAGAGAGTTCGGTTCCTATCTAACATTGGTGTTAAAGGGAGAACTGCGAGGAGCCAACCCTAGTACGAGAGGAATGGGTTGGGCCAACCTATGGTGTACCGGTTGTTATGCTAATAGCAGCGTCGGGCCACTAAGTTGGTATGTAAGAACTGCTGCGCAACAGGAAATCCTTCTCTATACAATTCTCCGGTCAGGGTTTCGATCATCCAGTAGATCAAGGCGTAGACTATATACCAGAGCATTTTGCATATCATTCTCTTGATTCTAATGGTACAGATGGTCGTGTGGATTCCACTATAGATTATGTAGTAGATGATGAGGTGGCAATTGAACATGAGGCTGAACACATTGGAGATCATCATTTGAATTGAGAAATTGATTATATCATTGATCAGGAGACTGTGGAAGAACCTGACTCTCTTCAGGAAGAAGAAGTAAAGAAAGGGCATGCAAAAGATGCTACTAGTGTCGTTGCTGAAGAAAGGTGGCTTGGATGGCCTAGGGAGAATGAGTTCCGCATGTTGGTTCCTGCTCAGAAGGTTGGTAGTATAATTGGGGGCAAGGGGGAGTTCATTATGAAAATAGTAGCAAAGACACGAGCCCGAGTTAAGATACTTGATGGCCCACGTGGAAAGGCAGAACGAGCAGTCAGTTATTTTCCTAATTTACTATGACTTACATATTTGTGTCACCCAACTGGAGTGGTTAGTGTAAATATCAGCCTACATCCTTCTTATCCCAATTTGTTCAAACGATTGATTGCATATTGCTCTCTCTTCCTATTTATGGTGAATTTGGCTATTAAATCATTATAGAATACTTGATCTTATGTAGAACACATACATATTAATATCAATTATATCAAAATTTTAGCATGATACTGTAATTATAAAATAACTTGGTCATCATTCAACATATGATTTGTTTCTAGTGTATTAGTATGACTGAATTATGTCTGCTTTCTGATGATACAATAACTCATGAACTCACACTTATGTTTAAGATAATTAACATATTCTTGAATAAATATTGGAGTATGAGTACAGATTTGTTAATTTTATACTCGCGGTAATGAACAGTTATTAGTGTTATAGCTGCAAAAAAATAATATAATTGAACAAAGCTACTCAAAGATGAGCTGCTAAGGTGACTGCATAATAAATGGATGAACATTTGCCATGGGGAATGCGTGGTTTTCAACTGTTATGTAGGGTTGACATTCTTATATATTAACATATTTTAAATATGTGTTCCCTCGCATGTCAAGTACTTCCCTGCCTCTTTCCTCTACCGTCTATCAATAATAAAAAATGAGTCAGACTACGAATCTGGAGGTTTAATAGTTTAATCTAAGTTGGAAATCACCGTCCAATAATAGAGTCGTATTATGGAGGATCAGTAATCCAGATGAGAGATAGAAAAGGAACTAAAAACTGTTCCACGACATGATTCCTTTTAGTGCAATAACGACAATGGATGTGTGGAGGTTACTTTGCAAATTTGTAGGGTACGGATCACTCATCATTTGGACACCAATTTTGAAGAAGCAAAGATCCAAATGGCAGGGATCGCCATCGAGGCTTACAAAGTGCTGAAAAGTTGATTTGAGTAAACAGTCAAACAACTGTTTGAAGAAGTTTTGCATCTCCCTTGTAACTTGAGAACTTGGATGACTGATTTCTTATGGCAGATTGTAAAGATCATAAGGAACTTGTTAAAATTGGCGATGAAGGCAAGCTGAAGATAATATGAACTTTTAACTGCTATGGAAAATTATTGGAACTTGCAAGATTGGTAATCAGCTAAGTAATCAGGTTAACATATTAAATAAATATTGAAGCTTGTTAATCTTCATGCAATTTTGTGCCACTTAATCTTAATAGGTCATCCAGATAATGGAAAAATACCAATGAGTACATTATGCTGAAAAATGCTTAATTACTTAAGAACTGGCAAATGTTGGTGTAAATAGTAAAGTTTCTCATCCTATTATGTTATACATACTTAAACACGTTCTTATGAGCAAGTTAGTCTGATTGTCATTGTCACTTTGATTTACTTGTATGTTGATGTTCTTTGCACATCAGGTAATAGCATCTGGCAGGGAGGAACCAGATTCTCCACTTCCTCCTGCTATGGATGGCCTCTTACGTGTTCAAAGACATATTAATGATGGTTTAGAGGGTGATGCTTCTAATACTCAATCTGGCATGCCTCCCAGAGTATCAACAAGGCTCCTAGTATCAGCTTCGCAAGTAGGATGTTTGATTGGAAAGCAAGGAGCGATTGTCAAATCCATACAAGAGACATTCGAGGCTATTGTTCGAGTTCTTGGATCAGGTATCTCTACATGCTTATGTTTGCATTTAACTATACTTTGCTCCTTTTGGTCACAGTTGCATTAATTGCAAGTGTTTTTGGTTTTGGTTGGTGATGTTTTAGTTTATCAGTGGTAGAGTCTTGTCAGTAATTAGTCCGTTGGCTTCCTTTTCGGCATCTACTTCTATTTCCTTTCCATGGACCCATTACATTAACATATCTTTGCCTGTTACAATGGAAAATTAACTTCTCAAGATATGCACTAAAATTGTGTAATGTGGTTCTAGTTCATTTCTCTTTTTGGGACCAGGAGCATTTCTTTTGGTGTCCAAAGTTTATTTATGGATGGGCGTTCATAGTATCCCTGACATTTGTTTTCTTCTGAAAATTGTTGGTCAGGTGGTTTGAAAGCTTCATTTACCAGAAGATATTTAGATGTTGTTATCTCGAGTACATAATAATGTCGTGATTTGTTACAAGAAGTAGTATTTCCTTTTAATCTTTTAGTTTTTGTGTAAGCAACACATAACATCTACCAGTTTTTTCACGTCAAGATGATAGGGTTGTTGAAATCCTGGGAGATGCATTTTGTGTGCACAAGGCTCTAGAGTTGATTGCATCTCATCTCAGAAAGTTTCTGGTTGACTGTAGTATAATTCCTATCTTTGAAAATTCTGTAAGTTTTTGTCCCCCGTTTCATGTTGTTTGCTTGATCAAGTCTTTTTGTTGTGATAGAGACTCACCGTTTTATGTTTTTCTTTTCACTAAAGATGCAAATGTCTAATCATCATCAAATAGATCATATGCCACCACCTCATCAATCATGGGGACCTCCACAGGGTTTGCCACCACCGGCTGCTGGCAGGGGTCCTCTTTATGGACATAATCATCCTCAGTATTTGTTGCTTCCACTTCAAGTTGACCATTACTATCCACCAGCAGACGTGCCAGCGCCAATGGAGAAACAGCCTCATCAAGGAATTTCTGCCTATGGGAGAGAAGCTCCCATGAGTAGTCATGCCTCATGGAATTCCCAGGCTCCATCAATGGTTACGCAAGTACACTTTATGTCAATTGTCCTCCTGTTATTATACCTGCTAGTTTCTTTCTAAATTATGCTTAATCACTACTGGAAATACTATTAGGGTCACTCGATTGGGTGTATTTATATTTGCAATTACATGATTCTCAACGAAGATTTTTTTTTTCATGACTCCTCAAATATATTTGAGATTGTGCATGTAATTTGAAATGCATGAAAATGGTGCAATCACAAAAATATTGGTGTAAGAAGTTTTGGGAAATGCGTCTAAGAGAATTGTGCCCTACATATTTTTTTCCCTTCTCTTTTCTAGCGTAAATTGTTGTACATATCCATTGAATTAGACAATTTTTTTTGTAAATGTATCACTAAACCATACATATCCTATGTTTGCTGTGGAGAGTTCTGATTCTTGGGGTGCATGAAGTTTAATGAATGCAACCAATGTTGGCCTATAAAATTGTGGTTGGTAAAAAGAGGTGTCTGATTCCTACATCAAGTAAAACCCCCACTACACCACCCCACTCGACTAAAGAGCAAGTTAAATCAAAAGGTGTGGAATCCTTTCTTGTCACCTTCGCGAAAACAAGGGTTGAACCCGTAATGTACCAACTAGGGAAAGAAAGCTTCATGAAATGAAAAATAATATACTTCCGAGCTGCTGAGCGAAGCTGCGAGCCTACTTAAATAGGACTATAGCAAGCCTTTCCCCTGACTCAGATGTTTCCCGAGTTAGAATGATATTTTTTATTAATTTTGTGGGAACCATTCATTTCAGCTGTGTTATTAAAGTCTTAATGTGTCGTATATAGTCCCTTGATGCCAAATAGGGACTCTTTTCAAACATTGGTTGTCCTTATCCTTTATAGATTATGTAGCAAATGCAGATCCCGTTATCCTATTTTGATGTTGTTATTGGAACGTAGTAGTTGATCGGGCATGGACTGGATGGCGAGACGTAACGCAGTGCCATTACCATATTGGGTATGTAAGCGAACGACGAGATGTAACGTGTTTGGCATACTAGAATCGGGACACCGAAAGGCGAGTCGTAACGCGGTGGTCGCTAGTGTTTGGTGTATAAGTTGAGGATAGAAGTAAAGAACTTCTATAGGATAAGATAGGAGTAAAGATCTTTGATAGACTATTTTGAGAATAAAGTATAAAGATGAAAGCGAGAACTACTTTCGCCTAAGGCAGGAAACCCTAATAATGTGTTAGTAAGGGTTTACTTAGGCAAAGAACTTAGGAAGTAATGACGAGACTGACCCTTCTCACTCACCAGGTCGAGGAAGGGTTAGCAGAGGTGGATTCCGAGAAAAGGCGAGGCGAAGCAGGAAGCCGCTCCTGAGTGGACGGGATCGAGGGGGCTCAGCAAGAAGATAGAGCTATAGTTATTTTCATTATTTTTGTTCATGATTATGAGTTTATAAACTGGAGATTCGAGGTTTTGAGTTTGAGTGGTCTTGTTGACCATGGATTGAGGTCACCCAACTGTTTAGGGCATTTCATTTGGAAAAGATTCAGCCGTATTTGTTTTTATTGAAGTTTTTCAACATTATTTTGGTCGGCTCCGGAGCCATGAGTATTTCGATTTAATTAAAAGGATCAGATTGTTTCATTTTGGTATCAGAGCCGGCACTCCTCTGTTCCTTGGTCTCTAAGGAATACTGGAGTGATGATCTGAGTTTTTCAAGGTTTATGTTTTTAAAGGAACGAAAAAAGGTGTTAGGTTCAAGGTTTGGCCAAACGAGTCAATGTTTCTTTTAAGGATTTTAGAATCTCCAGTATACACTAATCATGATTAGGAAAATAACTTTAGGGGGACCCTATGGGGCTATGTTACGTCTCGTGAAAGAGGAGCAGGTTCCTAGTGGGATCATTTGGTTAAACCCGTTCATGAGTGAGAAGAGGAGGGTCACGGCAGCTCATATCTTATGAGGATGTGATTTTATTATAATTAGGTTCGGGAAGGAGCCAAGTATTTAGTACGTCGACAGGCAGTATCAAAGGATTTGCGGGAAATGGCGGCCATAATCTAGAGGAAAGGATGCAATGAAGGTTCGTTGAGTTCGCGAGAATCGAGCGTAGTGCTACGACCCCGAGGAGTAGTGGAAAGTTAGACTTAGACAACACTAGGGACTTATAAGAAAGGTGAAAGGAGAAATTAGGTAGGTCTTAAGGAACCCGACATGTTTTCAATGTATCAATGCGTCAAGGCTAAGAAGAATCACCGTCATGTGCATACATCGACCGAAACCCTTATGGATACAGTATGCCACAAGATGAGAGATCTTAGACCGGGGTAACAAGGCTGATATTAAGTCTTGGAATATAAGGAGACCACCATCGAGATAAATGATGTAAAGAATGAGAAGGGATTCGAGAGACCCTGCAAGATACAGTAGTCACGGGAGGTAAAAAGATCCAAGGTATACAAGGAGCATCGTCGGACCAAGGTAGGTTAAAATTCGGAATATCGAAACTTGCCTAAGAAAGGTCATCAAGCCAGCCGAGGATAGGCAAGAAAGTAGGACGTTCGAGGGAAGTTCTAATAAATGTCAGAGAAACCAAGTAGAATCTTCGAGGAAAGATTTCAATGGACATAATAAGGAGGACCTAAGTAGCATACCAATATAGAGAGTGGGAAGGTAAGAGGAAGTTTGATGTGATTCCAGGGAGTCTACTGGTCCAGTCTAAGGAAGCCATTTCAAGGCCATAACGAGGGAAGAACATGAGTGTCCTTGGGAAATGTGTGAAGGGTGGCAGGACATGTAAGTCCCTAGGCAAGGAGTAGAGTGAAGGTAAGTAAATCGAACTCAAGAAAATGAATTAAAGAATATGATGAGGAAAGCATTCCCAAGCATAGGAGCGCGGTAAGTTACGTTACTCAATGTGATCGACTCTGAGCAAATACAACATGGTGGAAAGTCATCAGGAGGCAACCAATTAGTGATAAATAAAGGTCATCCAGAGGAAACGACTAGTTAAGGATGAACCATATTCATTTAGTCAAGCCAAAGTCAACCTGAGCTAAGATATTGAGCCCAGCTCAAGTATCGTCATGGATGGAAGTCGCGGTTGACATATGTCAAGCCTATATAGCGCAAGCTTCTTAAGGATATGACGACTCTAAGTAATGATGAGGAGCTACTGAACTGAGTTCGAGTATCAAGACTAGAACCAAGCATCGATAAAGGGGTTGTGAAAGTAAAGGAAGTATAAATCCCTGTGATAGAAGGATTACTTAAGGTGAGACTTTGAATCATCACGATGAACAAACTTCGAGGTCGAAATTTTTCTTAAGGAGGGAGGAAATGTGATACCTCGACTTCGATTTAAGGTCCAACAACAAGTACTGAATGAGCTGGACCAATAAATTGAATCGACATTTTGTCCCATCACGCCCTGGGCCCAAACTGGGGAATTTAAAAGGATAAGTAGCCACTCAAAGCTACTCGATGCTAACGAGCTTGGGAGAATACCCTTTTATGGTCAAGAGGAAAAATAAGAAGTGAGGTAAACTATATAGGACAAGCAACCGACATCATCGAAGTTCATGTAGCAAGAGTAAATATTTGAGGCAAAGAAGTACAAGAATGAGGAGGATGGAAGGATGGGTCCGAGCAAATTTTGGGTACAAAATTTTTATTAGGTTGGAGGAAATGTAACACCCTGACATTTGGGTTTCGGTTCGACCATAAAAAAAATGAACGGTTGGATTGACGGTTTCGTATGAAGGGATGCAACCGTGGATTAATAATAATAATAATAATAATCATATTTATTATTATTATTAAACGAAAAAAGGGAAAAGGCTAAATAACCCCACTCGGCTTCACCTAAATCTAATTCACCTAGAGCCAAAACCTCTGATGTTGCCATCACCACTTGTTATAGCTGGCGTTATGTTTCCCTTCTGCCGTCGATATAGAAAGGAGGGCGACGTACGAATTTCAAAGCGGCAGTGGCGAGAGCCTGGAGCCAGTCGAGGATTGGAGGGGAGATGATGCTCATCGCGTGAACATCAACGTCTACCGATGGTTGCTCCGTTGGGTTCGTTTCTTTCCTTTTTACCGTAGCGGAGGCTCGCGGTGGAGTGAATGGGCGAAGGTAAGAGGCTTTGTTTGTGATTTACTCTTTGGGGACACGGTTCTATTAGGAAAAGGGGATCAAGTGATTGAAGTGGCATCTGAGTTATACATCTGTTTGGTTTCGTAGGGAGTATACGTGTGAATGACAAGGAAGGAATTAAATGGACAAAGTCCATTGTGAAGGGCACCATTATTTGGAAAAAATGGATATGGAGGAAAGCTATTGTCGTCAGATCGTCATAATAAGGAATGTTGGTTGTTAAGGCGAGTTGTATCAACGAAGTTGAATCAAGCCAATTGGTTAACTAGTAGCTGAGTGTAAAGGGGTAATGTCGTAGGTCATTTAATTTACGCCCTTCATTTCAAGTTATTATTTAATTAATTTTCAAGTGTGCGCGATATGGTGAGGTATCCCACCGCCTACTTAAGGTGGAGGCACGCGTTGTGCTATGTATGAATGGATGGATGGATGATTGTAATAGTTGGTTAATGGTAAGATGAATCACCGGGCGGTTGGGCCATTACTAGATGGGTTAGATGGTCAGATCTCTGTTGGACGGCGAGTGACTCTCTGATTTGGGAGTGAATGTTTATGCGGGGCTTAAGAATGAATGATTTACGCGCTCCTTAACACAACAGTAGATCGTGTTTGTTGGGGTCACTACTGGACAACGAGACGTAACGCAGTAGTTGATCAGACATGGACTGGATGGCGAGACGTAACGCAGTGCCATTGTCATGTTGGATATGCAAGCGGACAATGAGATGTAACGTGTTTGGCATACTAGAGTCGGGACACCGCACGGCGAGACGTAACGCGGTGGTCCCTAGTGCTTAGGCAAAGACCTTAGGAAGTAATGACGAGACTGACCCTTCTCACTCACCAGGTCGAGGAGGGTTAACAGAGGTGGATTCCGAGAAATGGCAAGGCGAAGCAGGAAGCCGCTCCTGAGCGGACGGGATCGAGGGGGCTCAGCGAGAAGATAAAGCTATAGTTATTTTCATTATTTTTGTTCATGATTAAGAGTTTGTAAATTGGAGATTCGAGGTTTTGAGTTTGAGTGGTCTTGTTGACCATGGATTGAGGTCACCCAACTCTTTAGGGCATTTCATTTGAAAAAGATTCGGTCGTATTTGTTTTTATTGAAGTTTTTTAACATTATTTTGGTCGGCTCTGGAGCCATGATTATTTCGGTTTAACTAAAAAGGATCGGATCGTTTCATATAGCCAAAAATTTCGCGTTTGTGATAATAATAATCACTTTTCGAGAAATACAGAAGATAGCCAGAATTTTGAATGTTGCATGACAAATATAGCTATTTCCGTCCAAAACTTTAACAGTGTACAAAATTCCGTCTGTTAGGTTAACGGTACGCTGACTAGAATGTCAAATCATTGCCATATCAGCGACACTCAGCCTCATTTGCCACGTAGATGCCATGTCACAATTTACTTCAAAATGTATTTTAAATTTATTTTTGTTTAGAAAAAAATAATTCTTTCATTTTGTTATCTTTCTCTTTCCTCCCCTCCATTAGCTTCAATCTCCCTCGTCGAACTCCAAAGCTTTGGCCATTGATGGAAGCCATCTCTTCCAAACATTTTCATATCCAACCCCCCAAATCTCACAATCAAGTTTCCCACACGCCCGTCCTCCCTGATTTCCCCCTTACCCGCAACAAAAACCTCAAAACTCAGAAATCCCTAAATCTCCATATTGATTTCCCCAAAAAATAAAGAATCAAGCAAACGTTGACTTCCTTCCTTTGTTGATCCCTCCACCGTTGGCACCATGGACAATACTAATAACAATATCGAAAACCCTGACAACAAGTCGGGTGTCGCTGAGAAGCAATGAAGACATTCACTTCTCCCTCCATTTTGTTCTCTCCAGAAACAAAGATGGTGAACTCGACGAGGGTGGCACGACTCTTCCCATCCATATCTTCTTCTTTTTTTTTTTGCGACTGATAATCCTCACCGCACATTCATACATTTCTCTCCATCAACCAGAGCAGCACTATTAACAAAGCAAGGTAGTGGTTAGAACAAAGATTTTAGCTTTTGCAATAATTTTCCTTGTCGCTCTACTCCAAAGCTTTTCCACGCAGACTACCTACTGTCGGCGGAACCACTAGGTAGGCAGTCCCTTAGGGCGGCGATTCATTTACTCCAACTGGGCCTCTAGCAATTCGTTCTCCGCGGGTGACATTCTGAGTGAGTTCACTAAACTTCCTTTAATGGTACTACGAGCAACATAGGCACTGAAAGTAAATCCTAATTCTTTTCCCTCCCTTTTCCTCCACAATTAGTGTTCACTTTCGCCGCGCTTTTGCAAGAAAAAAGTATATAAAAAAAATAATGCATATCTCATATTGAATAAATGGTTTTATCATGCAAAACTTCTATTAAATGATGCACACTCGGAATTTACCAAATATCATTTGATGTTGTAGCTGCAATTTGCCCCTGATATTAGGCTCTTTCTAATCACCAATTGTGAGTGCATGCTAAGAGAAAAATAAGAATGCATAGTAGTTATACATTATTATCATAGGATTTTGGTAGTTACTGGTTTCACTCTAATGGTTGATGCTTGGACTTATATGAGCCAAAGATCATTGGTTAACTTTTTAGTCTATTGTCCAAAGAGTATATGTATCGTCAAATATGTGGATGCATCTTACATGGTTAAGGATGCAAAGAATTCGGCTGAGTTGTCTGGTGATGTGGTTAAATAGATTGGGCCGAAGAATATTGTGTACTTTTTCATAGATGATGTTGTTGTGTATAAATTAATTCATGAGAAGTATAGCACAATATTCGGATCTCAATGTATGGCACATATTACCAGTCTTTTGCTAAAAATGTATATAGTATGAACCATGTTTCAAGCTTAATTGCTCGAGCTCAGAAGATTAATGTGTTCGTTTATAGTCATCTTCTACTCTTATCCTTTTTTAAAGAAGTTAGAGGGTTGGAAGCAAATTGCACATCAAGAGCCACTCGATTTGCTACCCATTTCATCTGCATGAAGAGTAAGTATGATCATAGGTCATTGCTAGACAAGTGGTTTTTGCATCTCACTAATTGGGGGGAAAGTAAAGAGGGAAAACATATAAAGTCTTTGGTGTTGAATAACAACTTCTGGTAAGAGTGTTGGTAATTGTGAAGTTGACACTGACAATTGTGAAGTTGTCGAGGATTTTTTTTATTCTTATGAGCATTCATTTTTTGGCTATGTTTATGATGGAATGAATAGGATTAAGAGTAGCATCAAGAACATTTTCATGGGTAATGGAAAGTGAACGTCTATTTGCCGCCAACTAAAAAAAAAAATTTGAATTCAAAATTTGAATTTTCCCTTTCTTTCATTCTATAAATTCAGATACCATTAACATTTGACTCATTCCAACAAAAACTTTTGTCGTCGAGCCCAGTACCTCCGTCGTCGGCACCGTTCCTCCGTCGCCGGCCAATCTCCCGTCGCCCTCAATCGTCGGAAAACAACTTTAATTTTCCGGCAAGTTTTCCTGTTTTCCGGCAAGTTTTCCAGATTTCCGGTGAGAAACACGGCGGGCCGGAAAAAAATTGCAATCGAGACGTCGCCGAGCCGAAAGATTTTTTCGGCCAGGCGTGGAGCCAGCCGAAAACTTCTTTCGGCCGGCGGCGTCACGGCCGCAAATTTTTTTCGGCCGGTCGCCGAACACGCCGGCCAATATTTTTCCAGCGGCCGGAACCACGCCGGGCCGACGCAAATTTGTGGCCAGAGGCAGGCTGACCCGAAAAAATGTTGTGGCTCAGCCTGGCTCCGGCCACAAATTTCCGTCGGCCCGGCGTGGTTCTGGCCGCCGAAAAATTTTGGCCCGCCGTCTGTTCGTTGGAAATCGTCGGAAAAATTGTTCGAAACTACAAAAAATTGACGCACCTGCTTAGTGATGATTCATGGATGCGTGTCCGCGGTTTACGTCGAGGATCGACTTTCCTGATGATTTTTCGGTGACTTTTCCGACGACCGTCGATTTTTTCTGATTCAATACATTTTTGAAAGTTGGATATGTTGTAGATTGTGAAACTCTTTACATATATACTTTTTTTTTGTTGGCGGCAAATAGCAATTTGGTTGGCGGCAAATAGCAAGCCCAATGGAAAAGGGATTGAATATTATGTTAGGTTAATTGATGCAAGATGGGATAAGAATCTTCGATGTAATTCCACAAAATAGAATCTTCGACATAGCATTTATGAAGCTACATATTTCTTGACTCCAGTGTTTCAATATATCTCGAAAGGTCGAGCTGAGCGTGGAGTACAAGGTTTTCTTGTTGATCTCTTTGAGACTAAATGGCTATTTGACAATGTTGGAGAAGCATTTCAAGATATTACTTCACCTCTAGGTAACCAATTGTTATCACTCTATTATTTGTTTTGTTGTGTAGATCTTGTCAAATAGGAATTGATTATTAGAACTGTCTCCCGTGTGGTATTCTCAATACCTCGTTATTGAATTATTTCAGAATAACTCTGGTACAAATAACCGAACACAATATTTTGCACAAAAATGAGTTATTTGGACGCAAATAACTCATTATAAGTTATTTAGGTGAAAATAACTAATTGTAATAACTCATCCAAACAACCCTTAGTTTTTTTATTTTCTTTTATTTGTAGGTTCTTAAAAAAGAGTAGAAGAGAATCCAATCGATTATGAGAAATTGGACAAGATTGAATTGTAAAAGAAGATCCACATGCAGACATAGATTATAAGGAGATTGAAAAGACACTCAATGAGGAGTAGGAGGAAGCATCATCCTCGTGTTAAAGATTGGCGTAGTATATTGTAATTTAAAAGCAAATTCATTCTTGTTATAAAATGAACTTGTCATTTTTATCCATTATATAATTGGTTTCGTGCAGAGGATTTTGACTATGATGTGACTGATGAAATTGATTTGAACATTACAAACCTTTGAAGCAATGGAGATGGATGATTTTATCTTGCAAGATGTTTGATTATATACTTTGATATTTAGGTATTAAATTCTAGGAATGAACACTTTGATATTTAGGTATTAAATGTTGATGTGATTTAATGAATTTAAGTATAAACATTTATATACGGTTATTTGTTGGATTCAACTATAAACGTTTAGTTGTTGACATTTAATTGAAAGATATGAACATTTGCGAGTTTGTTTTTAAAGCTGTTTTTATTTATTTGAATATGGATGTAGATTTTAGGGGTCGTTTGAAAGTTGTGATTGTTAAATAGATGTAATGTTGTAAATGCATGTATTATATTATACATGTATTGTCCAATTTGATGCGTTGTAAAATACAATGTTTGGTATGTGTGATTGTGTATGTCACATCAACTAAAAGCTGAGACAAAACCATCTCAGCAATCACAACTAAAAGCTGAGATATAATAATCACTCATTTTGAGTGATAGTTTCTGTCACATCACATAAACAATACATGTATTATTCTTGGTAAAAAAAACTAAAAAAACTATGCATTCTAAACAATACATATATAGTGACAATCTCACCAAAACAATTGTAACTTCCAAACCAACCCCTAAAAATATTGTTTTAAGATAGGTTATTTAGATTCATAGCTAAAAATATTGTCTTAAGATAGGTTATTTAGATTCATAGCTTTGAATTATATTAAAACCAACATGAATTGATTGTATCACGGTTGAACTAGTTCAACTTGCAAAACCGATGTATGAGCATAAACTGATTTGACAACTTAATTATCGACTCATAGATTGCTGATGGGATCATCTACCGAACTTTGATTTTTGAAAGATACTACTTCATCCGCACTAGCTAATCTTCACATCAAATGTGAAAATTACACTTTCATAAACTTCGGTTTTATTGCAGTGGCCCAATAACTTATCTCTTAAAAGCACCAGAAATGCTGCTGAATCAAGTGGCAGAATTGAATGAAACCCCACCTCCGGCAACTTCTACTCGCTAGCTACTATTAATTACTTAGAAAATTTCATCCCACAGTAAGAACTCTACTAAAAGAATAGAAGCCACTCTTTGCACACACTATAAATAAGTTCGATTACAAGACTCCTTCCAACCAAATCTGCTTAAAGACCCTCAATTCACAGTCGATAGAGATTACCTACTATACTATATGGGCGCTGCACACGTTGTCCTGAAATGACCCGTCTGGTTGCACCTGCTGCAATGCACCACCCGCTTGACCCGCCCACGGTCTTCAGCCCGCACCCTCTTCTTCCTCGGCCTACCTGGCGGTCTAAGCGACTTGGGCGGGTTGATCACAATCTCAACCGCAGTGCCCGAATTGGGATCAGCATCTGCCAGCTCCTTCCACACCATCTTATCCGGTATCGGGTGTATGGTCTGGGAGTACGTCTTCCTATAAGTCGCCACGGTGAAGCAGCTCTCTGTGAAACGATGCACGTTCTGCCTGCATGAGAGAAGCGCCGCCACAGCATGCGCACATGGCAAGCCATGGATCTGCCAGCCCCGACAAAGGCAGCACCGGTTTCGTATGTCCACTATATTCGTCCCCTCGTGAGATATAACCTCAAACTCAGCTTCATTTGCTCGCAGCACCTGATAGCTTCTCGCACGCTCGAGAGCCTCAGCAACACTCCTCTCGGCAGAAGGCACGAGTATGGAGGTCCACTGCATGCTGTTCTCGCGTCTTTCGTTGAACCACGTCATTAGCTGTCTCCTTATGCATTCCATCATCTGGACTATAGGAAGCCCCGAGGCCTCGAGAATCCAAGTGTTCAATGACTCCACAATATTCGCAGTCAAATGACCAAATCGGGTTCCTTCGAAGTAAGCTGTGGCCCATAGCCTTGGCGGTATTCTGCGTATCCAGTATGCTGCATCTTGTGATATCTGCTCAATCTCGATGATTTTGGCTTCGAATTCAATCACGGTTAGAGCGTGAGCACCTTCCCATAAAAGGTTGACCAGCATTGTGTTGTTGAACTCCTTCCTGAAGCTTTCGCTCAGGTGGCGCATGCAGAATCCATGGAAAGCAGTTGGGAAGTTGGCTTCAACTCCGTCAACAATGCCCTTTCGCCTGTCTGACAAAATTGTAAGCCTGGGCATGTTTTCAGTGTTCACCTCGAGAAGGTTATGAAGTTCAGAGAGAAACCACATCCAGTTATCATCGTTCTCCTCATCAACCACACCAAAGGCCAACGGAAAGAGAGCACCATCTCCATCAAAGCCAGTAGCAAGAAGGAACGTGCCCAGGTACTTGCTCTTCAGATATGTTCTATCGAGTCCGAGGAGAGGCCTGCAGCCATTCAAAAACCCATAGATTGAAGCCTGGAATGATATGAAGAGACGCTGGAAGCAGTTATCAGTCAGGTTCCCATACACAGCTGCAATACTTCCAGGGTTGGTTCTTTTCACCTGGTCACAGTATTGTGGGAGCAATCGATATCCTTCTTCAAAGGAGCCGCGCATGGCAGCCATGATACGCTCTTTCCCTCTCCATGCCTGCTTGTATGATAAAGTGATCCCATGAGTGCGATGAATGTCTTCCAGAATCTCCTTAGGTTTGTAATTAGGGTTTTCCCTAAGTCGTTGCTCCACAGAGCTTGCAACCCACTCAACAGAGGCTTGTTGATGACCAAGATGAGAGATTCCACCACAGGTGTGAGATTCATGTATTGTTCTGATGGTGAAAGTAGGGACACCAGGGAGTTTTGCAGCGTGTATCCGCCAGGGGCATCCGTCAGTTGCACACTTAGCTGTGAATCGGCTTTTGTCTGATTTGATGGTTTGGATTTCAAAATGAAGGGCAATTGCTGTGTCCCTCAGTGCCCTGCGGCAGCTGATCACATCTGGGAACTCTTGCCCCACTTTTAACTCGTAACTAGGGCCTGCAAGAACTGTGCGGGCTTGAATAACATGTGTATGGAGAACAAGGGACTGGTCCATTGACAAATCATCACTATGTTCTTCCAGCCCTATTTCCTCGTCGCCTTCTTGCACAGCAAGTTCCAAGTGGGCAACAAGTTCTTGATCATCATCAGAAACAGGGGATTCGTTGTTGTTTTCTGACAAAACCAGTTCATGACCTTGAACAGGAAGTGCTAGCTCATGCCCAACTGGCTCGGGCTTCCGGTCAATGCCTCCTAACTCATTTTCATGCCCATAGCTGTGAACAGAATCTGCTTCATCATGGTCATTGGTCTGTTCCAATCCCAATTCATGATCACGGTGATGACTTAACCCCAGTTCATCATGATCTTGAGACTGTCCCAGATCCAGGTGATGATGTTCATGTCCTTGGCCCATCAGATTATGATGACTCTGGGTCAGATCCAGACCATGATTATGGCCTAAAACCAGTTGTTGATTCTCCCTAAGCCCTTCATTCTGATTCTGTACGAGTACAACTTCATGGTCAGCCATCTGAAAAGGTTAATTCCAGTATGCTGACAACTTTGACGATTATACTCCCCGAGAAAGAACTACGGTTTTGCTGATTGGAGTAGTGAATTAATTGTCCACCAGTACTCTACCTGCAAACCAAAAGCAAAAGACACAAACTAGGTAAACCTTACATCTTCCACGAGTAGACTGAAAATCCTTAATTGATGAAGGTCCTTCACTATGACTAATGAAAGTTGAATTCGCAAATTCATAGCATTGATGAAGCCATCTTAGAAAAATCTGCATTGCGGGGTTCAAGGATCATGGAAAAGCCATTTCTTTGTGCGACCACTGCGATTCACAAGCCTAAGAATTTCAGTTCCCACAGGGTTTACGCAAACGTACCTATAGAAGCAAAAACTGATAGCTAGCTCGACCCAAAGCCGGGGCCGTCACTTTCATCTGTTGAATCGGGTGCACAAATGACCGCCGATAGCAGTAAGCTTTGAAATTCCGCATAGAAGAATCGGCAACCTAATCAAACAACCAATTGAGTTCTCAACGACAACAACAACAAAAGAACCAGTTGAAAGACGAAGGACAAAGAACACTCATCTTGGACTAACAAAAAAAGAGAACTGGTAATGAAGTAATGAAGAAAGCAGCAGAAAGGAAATTGAAGTGATAGGAACGCAGAATTCCAAACAATGAAAACCACGGACGAAGACACAAACACACGAGCGCGCAGACGCAGCAACAAACGAGAACCTTAGCATGAAACAGTTCATCCTCAATATTGCAGCCGGAACCCACCTCCGAAAGAGCAAACAGCTTGAGAAAGCGAACTGGGTAGGGATCAAAACTGGAGGAAACGACAAGTGCAGTAACTAGAGCGAGCGGAATCCAAAGGGGCACTAGGGTTTTGCTCCGTTATGCCACATTCTTCTTCCTCGGCCTGAGTAAACGAGAAGAATTGAGAAGGAGAAGGTAACGAGAATTCAAAAAGATGAAGAGTTGGCGGGTAATGGAGGGAGAAGGAGAAGATCGGAAAAAGCAAAGAAGAATTGGGATGAAGGGCAAGAAGGAAAAGATAAAAATTGGGGCTGGGGCGAGGGGTGGGATTGGGAAATCAGAAAGAGGCCAGGCGTAGCGGCGAGGGTTGAGAAGGGAAATACAGAGAATTTCGATTTCAAGTGAAAAAGGGGTATTTATGTCATTGAATTTCCTTTTTATTTCTAGACTAGATGTTGCTGCTCCCCCTTCCTTTGTGAGACTGGTACACCTTGTGCCCAAATAGTAGGTTGAGGTTAATGGCATGATCATTGATGTTTGTTGTGTAAGAAATTATTATATTATTTGTACATACATAAATTATATAAAATCTCATTCAAAATACAATGAAAATTCAAGTACATTTTTAAATTCACATATTAAATTAATATTTAAATGTTCAACTCAAAATTCCAAATAAGGTACTCGCAAACAAGTGATTGGTCTAGTGGTACTACTAGTCTTGAATCTTAAGGTCCTATGGTCAAATTCCTTCAGTAGCACCTAACTATAAAAATCAACCTATATCAGCCTTATCTAAGAAAAAAAGAAGACAATATGCACTTGTATAGTCAAAACTTTCGTGTTTGTGCCAATAATAATTAAATTTGGAGAAATACTACTTAGCCACTTTCGTCCAATTTTTTAACGGTGTTAGCATTAAGTGTGACCGGACAAACGGAGATGTCAATGTGGTATAGTACTACTGGCTAATTTTGTATGTATGATAATATGAAATAAATTAAAATATACAAAAATACAAAAAAAAAAAAAAAAAGGGAAAAAGCACTTCTCTATCTCTCCTAATCTTCCCCAATGCCGTCCAACTTCCTTCTTCCTCCTCCTTTCTTCTCCGATTCTCCTTGCAACCATAAAACAATAAAATAGGTGGTAGGGAAAGCAGAATATGAAGAAGAGGGCATCGTTGATCATGGAGGAGAGACGCAACAATATAAGGACCAATCGACTGCACCGCAGATCCGTTTGAGCTTAGAGATTGAAAATGGCAGCCAAGCACTCCTCCGACAAATATGAGTCGTCCCTTGCTTTGATTAGCGACGAGGTGGAGAATTTGGACTTGAGGTGGTGATGTTGAGATTTTGGCGTCTCTCGATCCATCAGCAGCAGTTAAGAAGCGGAGATGAAGGTTGGAGAAGCAAGCATCGTCGGATCCAGATCTGATTTCCAAGATGAAGGACTCATCGTTGCCTCCCATCCCTTCCGCCGCGTTGTCCAGATCTAATTTCCAAGATGAAGGACTCGTCCGAGGGTTTCGATCTGGATTGGAGTGCAGACGCCATCGCCGACAGGAACTTTGTTATGCGATTTCATATTTTGATTTCGGTGGTGGGTCTGGCAGTGGCGGCGTATTTGGGGGGCGTTTCCGGCGGAGAAATTGGAAGCAACGGGCAGCGGAAGTCTCCGTTGGACTGGGTTTGAGAGGTGAATAGATGGAGGGATGGATTTTTGTCGGCATCGGCGAAGGATCCAAAAGTCCGGGCAAGTAGCAGTACCGGTTACGACTGCTTTTTTGTAGCCGCCGATTCGAGTTCCGACGATGGTGGTTGATTCAGATGATAAGGGTTTCGGAAAAGAAGCTAGAGGATTTGAATCGAGTTTCATCGAAAGACGATGGGATGGGATTAGGTGCTAACCCTTATAAGGGTTAGCACCGTGATAACTAGCAAAAAACGCTACTAAAAATAACGAAATCACTACGGATTATTATAAAATCAATACAACATCTAAGCTAAATCACTACTAATTCAAACTAGTAGTAGTTTTTCCATTGGTTAGGACGGTGCTAACTATTATACAATTAGCACCGTAGCCGTTCCCAAAGACGATGATGATACCCGAGTTTCAAAATCAACGAGAATTGGGGAACTCGGAGATATCATATGGTACTGGAGAAGAGAGGGTGTTAGGGAGATGAAGAAATTGGGGAAAATTAAAATAATTTTTTTATTAATTTATGACATGTAATTATCAAATAAATTTTAATAGTGACGTGTCACTTTTGGTTTATTTGGCGCTGATGTGTGCTGAGTTGGCGCCTAGTTAGCAAATCGTCAAAGAAGTTGACGGTGTTAATGACACCGTTAAAGTATTTAACGGAAATGGATATATTTGTCCAACACACTTTACAAAATCTGGCTATAAGTAGTATTTCTCCAAATTTGGCTATTATTGGCACAAACACGAAAGTTTTGGCTATAAAAGTGTATATTGCCAAAAAAGAAAAATAAAGTACTCAATTTTCAAAGATAAAGGAAGTCATCTTCATCTTCATCTCCATTGCATCAACAAAATGAGAAATGTCGAAGTCAATTTCATTGGTCGCATCATACTCAAAGTCCTCCACATTAAAACATGAAATAAAATAGGGTTAATATTTTCGTATGTCCTGAACTTTGACCAAAATAAACATTCTGGCCAATCTTTTCGATCTATACCATCCTGACCCGAACTATACACTAAAATAAACAATTTGGCCAAACCCAATGTTTGACCGTTAACTTGGACTGTCAAACGCGTTGACTAACGGTCAACGCGCCACGTCACTGCCAAGTCAGAAGATTTGATATATATATTTAATTTTTTATTTTTTTATTTTTGGTTTAACTAAGGTATTAGATGATTTTTTAATTTATAATAATTTAAAATTAGGGAATGTGTGGAAATTGTGAATTATTTTAAATATTTTATGCTGACTTGGCAGTGACATGGCGCGTTGACCGTTAGTCAACGCGTTTGACCGTCCAAGTTAACGGTCAAAAGTTGGATCTGGCCAAATTGTTTATTTTGGTGTATAGTTCGGGTCAGGATGTTATAGATCAAAAAGATTGGCCAGGATGTTTATTTTGGTCAAAGTTTAGGACATACAAAAATATTAACCCAATAAAATACCCATAAATATTACTAATGACAAGATAATAATGATAGGAATGTATAGACTTTTCTATAAATGCTATAATATACAAACCTAGGACGATTTCTAGAGGATATAATGAGGATGATTCATCTTCCTCTTCATAAAGAGTCTTTTCAATCTCATCATGTACATCTGTGCAGGTGAATTTTCTTCTACAATCCAAAAGTCGATGTATCATAATTAATTGGATCTTTCGCTCACTCCTTCAAGCACCTAAAAGTCAAAAAAGATAAACGATTAAGTATATGAAGTATTAAAATTGTATAAGGTTGCATAAAATTTAAACATTACCTATTCTTCAACCTCATATTGTAAGTCACACATAAATAAGATCATTCAATCTTTGATACTCCAATCGATTCCTCCGCTTGTTATGGATCTGGTTATGCACATTCTAATTTCGCTCATATCCAAAAGAAGAAGATATTTGGAGCAAAAGTCGCGCAACAACTTGCATCAAATTTGGAGCATCCTCTCCAAATAGTATCCACAATTAAGTTATTCATTTAAGCTAATTTTGTAAACAAGTACATATAATTTGAAAATAATACAGTTTAATAAGTAACAAGTAATTAGAATTGGTTACCTGGAAGTAAAGTGGAAGCACATGACATAGTTATTTTCTTCCCAAAGCTCTCAAACCTCTTTCTATAAAGTCTAATTTCATGAATGACTTCATGAACATTCTCACATAAGCACTGAACCTCAAGGTCATCAAGAAGACATGTTTGTACACCACGCTCGACCTTCTTCACAATATTGAAAACTTGGGTTCGGAAAATATGTGGGAGATAAATGTTGTGTCGAATATGTTTATCTCATACTGCATCAATTAACTCCATATAAGTAACTGTGCATCTTCCATTGTCAAATAAGAGTTATTCATAGCCTTCTTTATCCTCATCATTCTATCATGAACATGCCCCAAAGATGGTTGCTAAGCAGAATCAACAACCTTCAACAACTTCAAATTTGCCAATGTCAACTTCACCTCAATAAACACTCTAGTAATAAATGGTTGTCTAACACAACATATATTATCTGTTTCCCCTCTTTAAAATCTCCTAACTTGTGAGATGCAAATAAGCTACTTGTGACAAGTTGTTCCAATGAGGACCTTTGATCATAAACACTTTTCAAGCATATGAAGCATGTAGCAAAATCGAGTAGCTTCTGGACGCACAATCTGCTTCCAACCCTTTAACTTCTTCAAAAAATCTAAGAGAGGAAGATGACTATAGACAAACACATTGATCTTTTGAGCTCGAGAAACTAAGCTTGACACATGTCCCATCTTGTAAATATATTTCGGAAAAATATTAATAACATGTGTAACACATGGAGTCCATAAAATATTCTTATACTTCTCATGAATTTTTCTCCTCGCGATAACATAATTAGCAGCATTATCTATGAAAAAAATGCACAATACTCTTTGGCTCAATCATGCCAATCACACCACCAAACAATTGGGACAAAGTACTTGCATCCTTAACCAAGTCTGATGCATCCACAGATTTCAAAAAACATACACCTTTGGACACTGGACTAGAAAATAAATCAATGGTCTTCGACACATATAAGTCCAACCATCAACCATCAAAGTGCATCTACTAACTTCATAAATCTTACAATAATCATGTATGGTAGATGTGCATTCTTGTTTCACATATCTCGATAAAGACACTCTCTGTTGGTGATGAGAAGGTACCTTATATTCGGGGCCGATAGCACCATGGAATTCACATCACTAAACAATGATCGACTTAGTTGACCATAAAGGGGATCGATGACTGCTGACACATAAATTTATAACATTTTAGAACCCCTATTTATTGGCATTTTTTACATGTTTATCGTACACATATGCTATGAATTACATTAATTTGCTTGATATTTGCTCATAGGTGCATTTGATAGCCTTTAGGGCAGTTTTTACACATGTGATGCTATTTTGGGTAGTTATGGTGTATTTTAAATCCAAGTCATCTTGTAAGCTCACTGTGGAAATAAAGAGTACGGGATTATGAGCATATAGGATCAAACATGGCCTAACTCGGAGTTTAGACAATGGAGAAAATGCTCAGATAAGTGACAATCCAAAGTAGTCAAAACACAAAAATGGCGAACCAAGTGTCGTTATACAACCTGAATCATCGTTGTTTTGAGGAAAATGCTTGCTTTGACAACTCGATAGCTTGAACCTAGGAGCTTGAAGTGCAAAATGCAAAAATGACGACTGAGGCGATATTTCAAGCCATAAAACTTCGGGCATCGTTTTGGAGGAAGGAGGGAGTATAAAAGCTAATTTTCAAGGGATCATCAACAAACTTCATCTTTTGATGTTCCCTATGGTTGGCTACAGAAAATGAGTTGAAAGCTCTCTTAAGGTACTAAGGTGGTGCAAGAAGTGAAGATTATAGTGGGTTTTTTGCCATGGTCGCCCTCGCCCCTTCTTCTCTTGTAAGCTCTATTGTAGTTATGGATAGCTAAACATAAAGATTGTTCACATTATTTAGAACCCTAGGGATGATGGGTGTAATCGATTATGTGATTGATTTATTGTCTTTTTATTGATTTATGTTCTACGATTGCTTTTATATCTATTCGATTGTGTTTATAACCAAAGCCATCGTCCAACTTGTCGGTAGCTTTGTATCTTTTTGTGATCTAGATGAGACTAGAAACGACCATCACATCACAATCAACCATCATTCGATTAGGCTATCCAGACTTCTTAAGAGAAAAATCTGTAGGACCAATCGTAGTCTGCCAGATCTAACCATCGTTAAATATATGGCAAGGTGAAATTGTTACACCCCATCCTTTTCTAAGCCAAAATAACCATTATACCCTTGGTGAAATTTGTCAAATTACCGTAATATTGATGAGGAATCGAAGTGCAAACTCTTGATTTAACAGGGTCGAGTTTCAACATAAAATGAATGATTACGGACGTTAACTGAGTTTTTGATTAAACTCACTCGTCATGGTGAAATTCCAAAAATAGCTTGGGGAAATTAAACCCCAACCCTACATTTCATTACGGACGTTAACTGACTTTCAACCACTTAATAAAGTGAGTGTAAATGGGATAAAATCTCCGTCGAGTTCTTTTAATTTATGCCATTTGTTTCAAGTTATTATTTAGTTAATTTTCAAGTATGCGCGATAGGTGTATGAAGCATCCCACCGCCTACTTAAGGTGGAGGCACACGTTGTGCTATGTATGAGTGGATGGATGTATGGTTGTAATAGTTGGTTAATGGTGAGATGAACCCCCGGGCGGTTGGGCCACTACTAGATGCGGTAGATGGTCGGATCACTGTTGGACGGGGAGACGCAACGCAACAGTTGATCGAGTTTGTTGGGGTCACTACTGGATGGTGAGACGTAACGCAGTAGTTGACCGGGCATGGACTGGACGGCGAGACATAATGCAGTGCCATTGCCAAGTTTGTGTATGCAACCGGACGGCGAGACGTAACGCGGTTGGCATACTAGGGTAGGGACACCAGATGGCGAGACGTAACGAGTTGGTCCTTGGTATTGATGTCTATGAGTTAAGGATAGAAGTAGAGAACTTCTATAAGCTAGTAGAGAGAACGATTGTTTAAGAGCAGAAAGCAAGAACGACTTTCGTGCTAGAAAGGAAACTCTAATAACGTGTTTAATAGGGAGTTTTCCTAGGGAAAAGACCTTAGGAAGTAACGACGATACTGAACCCTTCTCACTCACCAGGTTGAGGATTTCGAGAAGAGGCAAGGTGAGGTGAGAAGCCGCTCCTGAGCGAACGAGATCGAGGGGAGCTTAGTGAGAAGATATAGCTATAGTTATTTTCATTATATTTGTTCATGATTATGAGTATATAAACTGGAGATTCGAGATTTTGAGTTTGAGTGGTTTTTTCGACTATGTATTTGAGGTCGACCATGTGTTTAGGGCATTTCATTTGAAAAGGATTCAGTTGTATTCGTTTAAAATGAAATCTTGAGTATTGTTTTTAATCGGCTCCAGAGCCATGGTTATTTTGGTTTGGTTAAAGAGGATCAGGACGCTACAGAAATTGCATCGCAATCAATCAATTCACATGGGCATATAAATCCATCGACCCTAGGGGGAAGCATAATATGAAACGTTGTCTTTACCTACTGTTTACATTTGATTTGATTTAGTTATGCTTTTCTTTAATTCGATTTGTCTTTTATTGTTCTTGCCAATTTTAGTCTTTTCGCATAATCAGGGTTGCAGCTATTAGATTTTGAGTAATGAGTCGATTAGGGACCTTGATGATATTTTATTTATTGTGTTTATCACTCCCATTTTTTACACATTCCCCCATTCTATCAATGCATCTCTAGTCATTTCAGTGGTATTTCTTGTCTAAATCATAACTATTTGATCAATAAACTTTTAATAGACCTAAGCAATGCTATTGTAGTCTTTGATGCCTTTTTATATGTTTTTTATGGGTTTTGAAGGTACAAATCAACCTAAGGAAGATTGGATCAAGCATTGAAGAACTCTAGAGGATCATATGAGCTATAGAGAGAAGATTATGGAGCTTTCATGAGAAAGAAGTGGTCCAATGATGTAGACAACTAGAAGTTGCCACATAATCTTAAGAAAAGGCCGTAGAAGGAGGACTCTGCCAAATCTGAAAAAGGAATGAGTGGAGACCTAAGAAACAATTTCAACCGCCTCTCCATCAAGTTTCAACCAAATCGTAAGGAAAAGAAGTCCATGAACCAGGAAGCCCAACCAACAAAGAAACACCCTCCCCCCTATTGCCTCCTCTCCATTGCCTTGCTGACGAAATTTACTTAGCCTACAAGGTTGAGGAGACTTTTTTCTAGTCGATTTAGGATGTTTTAGGCCTGGATTTTCCCCTATAAATAGAGCTCATGATCCATTAGCTCAGGAAGGTTCCACAAACACACAAATTCTCTAGAACACTCTACTCAAGTGCTTAGCCTAATAGAAGTAGGGATTTCACATCTAAGGAGATGATGTCATCATCAATGGTGTTACCTTCCTTCTCCTCGATGCTTATGTGATGGTCATTGATGGTTCTTTAGTATTCACCCTCTTGTATCGTTGATGCTTATGATTCTATTATATGCTACTATAGGCATTATGCTTAGTATTACCTAGCTTGTCAAGAAATTACCATCAAGGGATAACCCATTGATGCTACAGGAGTATGAATGGAATGATCAACCATCTATGCTTCAAGTAGTATCAATGCTTGATTGTTAGACAATCGATGCTATAGACTATGGTTATGGTTCGCAGAAGCTCACAATTAACTATACGCTATCCTAACTTGCTTTTTCTTCATTAATTAAGTAATGGCATAAAGTGAAAGCAAGCATTAGCTATTTAAATCTATATCGCAAGAGGCACATGCACGGGTAGACAGTGACCTTAGAGGAAGGGATAGGGTGGTACAATAGATGAATCATTGATGCATGATATGAATGAGCCCTAGTATGCATGATTAGCTTTTGAGTTCACTACCTTCAACAGCAACGTATCTTTGATTTTATGTATCTATAAACCAAAAACCCCTAAAAAACTTTACTCTTCTTGCTTTGCTTGTTTGTTGAATGAAAACCCCCTAAATGTATTTCATGTTTCGTGTATGCCATGGATGGTCGGTGTGAGTAGTTATGCATTAGAAGACCTCGAGGAATAAGACCCTAGGGCCTCCTAAGATTTTATCATCTGATTCTACATCAAGTTTTGGTGCCATTGCTGAGGATTTTTTCATATATAAAAGCATATAACCATCTTATGTTTAGTATTGAGTCTTCTTTGTTTTGCAGGTTTTCGTATGAGTGTAGTAGCTACTAGAAGAAAAACAAAAAACCTAAAGATTGTGGAATTTGACTACGACTTCTCCCATTCTCACTTGGAGTAAGAGCAAATTACTGGCTCGACTACCATCCCCAGGAACCTTCACTACATGGGAGATCTTAGCACAAGCATTCATTGAGGAGTACTTTCCACCATGGAAGACAGAAGAGCTTAATGACGTGATTACTCGATTTCAACATAAGGAAGGAGAGACTCCAAAGGAAGCACCAGTCAATAATATAATGTTGTCTTGAGGTGTGAAGGTCATTAAGGTGGGAAGCGACTCAATGGTCCTGCAATCGATCCCTCTCTTATCTAGGATAGTCAGTCCAAGCCGATGGTCACGCATGTTATCCGTTAAGCCGATGGTCACGCATGTTACCGCACGAGCATTGCCTAAGTGGACATCTAACAAGCAGGAGTAAGGTCGCCTCGTTGACAAACTAGACTCATAGATCATTCATCTACTCTTAATTATACATAAGAGGCTCAAATCCTTTCTAGCGCTAAAACTATCTCCTAGTTTAAAGAATTAGTTGTAGCCTATTAGAGAAGAGTTGGATTTTTTGAATGGATTGGAGTTTATTGATCCCTTTCAACTATCTATTGCTCATTTTGATGCATGAATTTAGGGTTTCTTCTATTTGCTTATGATTCTCCCCCAAATTCTAGGGTTTGACCCACCACTATTGAGTGATTGCATGAACTGGAACTGTAGAGAATGGATCCATAGGGCTTAGAGATTAACGAGGAAACCGTACCCCAATCTCTAAGGTTTGGGCCATTATTGGAGAGATGATGATTGTGTGGTTTGACCTCACCATGACGCAACATGATTCTTTCGTAGTCGGGTTATCTCCTATTGAGTCAGATAGTTCCATCAATCAAATCTTGACATTATTCTATCACCTAGGTAGTTGGGGTTATGAGAATTCAAACTCGGATCCCTCTACCTAGGTGGTAGGAGATCTAATTAAATGACCATTAAGTTGGAGCTTAGTCTAGGTATTTCCATGGAGTGAATGGAGAATAAAACAAATCCCTTACAACATGTAACCCTAGCAAGCATTGAAGGTAGTTTAAAATCTAACCGACACTATCTCTCATCTAATGATCTTCCGCGCAGTTAGTTTTGTTTCATTCTTTGTTTGGCTAGTTTAGTTCACATTAAACCCCAACCATCTAGTTTGGCTAAACAGTAGATCAAGGTTGAGAGTAGTAATACATCTAGACTTCCCAAGAAATATGACAGAGCCACTTTACTACTAACCTATCATTGGTATATTTTTCATTGTTAAGGTTAGAAGTAAGTGAGTATTGATACGTTAAAGCTTCACACCATAGCAATTCATGAATTCTAATTCCATGATTTATTAACAACTCTATATGGCATGGTTCGTTAAAATGAGTTGACATAAAAAGATTGCAACTCCTTTCTTTGTCTATATCAACCCATATACAACAACAACAAAAATCATCTTTTCAACTACAAAAGGCAATAGTATCCCTATTTCTAGCATTGAGCTAACTCTATCAAAAAGATGTATGGACTATCTAATGTAGATAATGAAGGTAGAAAAATTTGTGATTTGGATGGTAGCTTTGTTATCTGAATCTAAATCTAGTCTGCAAAAATAATGAATACTCTTAATCAGCACGGGGAAACAAGAAGCTGAAGCCTGAATTCTCACGGATGAGAGGCGGTGGTTCGATGTCGGAAATGTCAATTTGCTCCATTGACTTGGACAAGTCATCAACAGAAAATGGAATGCTGCAAACATGATAGTACAAAGCTTTGCTTATCACAGTATGTTGTAGAGGGACAGTAAAACTTATATAGTAATGAACCCAACAGATGAATAACGTGAATTGTCAGTATTTCCACTGACCTTGAATCATCATCTAACAGGAAAGAGTTACTAACGGCATTGTTTGAATCTTCTGTCATCAATACCCTCATATTGGATATAACCTGTATTATCAAGAAAAGAAAAAACAAGTTGTGGAATTGAAATATTGTAGCTTGAAACAATAAGAGACATTTTTTTTGAAGACTTACATCTGAGGATACACTATGGGTGCCATACTTGTCATCCCAATACATTGTACTGATCCGGTATAGTTGCTGAATGCTGAGTACCTGTGAAAATAGGTTTAAGCTGGTTAAGATATAACATGAAATACAAATGTATGCTAGTTATATGAAATGAGAACATAAACTACTCACAGGGCATAAGTCATGACTAATCTCATCTAGTGTTTTCTTCGGCTTCTGATGAATGACCTACAATAGGAAGCAAGCCATGACATTTTTCATGTTATCTTCGACTTTGGGAATGAATTGAAGAGCATATGAAAATTTAGCAGAGATGGCGGAGGTATTACCAAAAACCCAATTGCTTGTCTAATATGCTTTAACTCATCCCATGCTGAACCTGCATACTGTATTCACAATCATATATTTTTCTTTAGTAGATCATTAGTATTTTATGCTGCCATTTGGGGTTTTCTAGCATAAATGGAATCAGGTCAATCCTACCTCATCTGTTGCTTTGTAGCACCAATGTTCCAATTCAGCTAATCCGGCTTTTACATACTCTCCGTTGCTGAAGGAGCAACACTCTCTTCTCAGAAGAAGACTATCAGTTTCAAGACAAGTATAAATGAGAGTCACAACATAATTGAGAAATCAAATTATAGAAAATGCAAAGACAAAGCATGGATTGTATACCTGTTAAAAAGTTGGACATTAATGAAGGAAAATATTTGTGTGAATACCTTGCGAACCAAAAACGGGGGTACCTAGAAAATAGTCAAGGCCAAGAAGCAATACTCATGATTGATATGCCTTATGCTTGCTTGAATTATTTTAAGCAATTAATCAAGTTAAAAAGGTTGGTTTATGAGTCACTTACATGATTCGTTTTCAAAGTGCTTAAGAAGTTTCCAAGGCTCTTGACTATCCCTTGCCAATGTGCAATTAAGGCTTGTTGTGCTGCAGTATTAGCCACAGAACGTGCACCCTTAACTAAGCTTGCTCTTGATGTTCGTGGCGCCTATTCATGCCAGCAAAAATATTTTAACAATAGAACTCTTTAAGTAGCTAGCCATTAAAAAGTAAGCAAATTAAATTTTACAAATACCTGAATGCATAATCCAAGCAATGGAGAAATCTCTTTTTTTAGATTGTCTCTTATCATTCCATAAATTTTCTCTACATATGCTGTGAGTTGTTGTTTAAAAAGCAAAGCTGGGTACTTGGCCTCAACTTGCCTCAAAGTGTCCACTCCACCACTTATAGTTCCATTGATTAGGGAAAGATTGACTCCTTGTGGAGCACCACGAAAACTCTGCAATGAAAAGATTATAATCAAATAAATATAATGTATCGAGTGATAGAAAAAATGTAAAAATCTTCGAACACATCTGAAATTTCTAAAATAGGTGCAACTTATACCTGTGTCATTCTTCCAAACAAAGTAGCAGATGAAGACCTGCGACGCTGTGGAGCCATTCCTGCTGCACCACTTGCTTTCAACGTGCGTTGGAGTAGCAAGAGTAGTGTTGAGGCATTTGACAACCAATAGGCCAAGACATCATTGTTATCTTGAGTCTGAATATCCATAAAGCTAAAAAAATAAGTAACTTAGAAGAAACTTGGCTACCGTCAATTTCTCATAAGTCAAATCTAATAAACTCAAATTTTCATAAAACCCAAACACACTTTAAAAAAAACATACCACTAAGAGATGATTTTACGCACCTCAATAGCATGGCCAATCGTCTGAATAATACGGTCAAAAACACTTGTCCTCTCGACTTCAAAAGATCTCCATTGCAAGAGGCATTTGTATATGATACATGCAGCAATAGGTCTTTTCCCTTGAAACCCAAGGTGTTGTGCGATACAACGAATGAGCAATTCCTGATTCTCTTGTTGCTTCTCATTTAGTGACTTTTGAGGTTTATCATCCAATTCATCTCTTTGGTTTATGGAAGGACTATGTAGATCCTATATTTTTTAACATGATAAATTAGTAAAAAAAAAATAATTTGATTTCAATAATGATACAAGGAAAAATATAAGTTGCTTTTCTGGATGCATGTTTGTATACTCACCAAACCTGCCTTTGCCTCTGGTGGAATATGACTCTCAGTTCTCTGCCAAGAAATATTGAGCATAAAAAGTTCTTAGAAGTGATTCTAAGAAACAAGAAAAAAGGTGGGATGTGGAAGTTGTGAAGAAAAGAACTACCAACACAAGTACCTGCATGATTGACCTTGAGCGTCCTGAAAGAAATTTATTGGGGGCCATTGATACAGCCTGTTGTCGTAGGACTTGGTTTTCAGACTCCAAGTTTGTAAGCTTCTCTTCTAGCCTAATCAGAAGAAAGAAAATAGTCAACATAATTGTCACATCTTATACCACAAAATAGAAAAATAAGATAAAGAAGCGAAACCATACAGTTTCATGGAATCTTGGAGTTGTTGAACCTTTTTTTGTGTTTCTTCCAACTTTTTTTGTCTTTCTTCACTTGCCTCTTGAACTTCACTAAACTTTTTCTCAGCTTCATCAGCTCTTTGCTTTTCTGTGTCTAAGGAGGACTGCCATTGAACATGTCCAATGTCAAATATTCTCTCACAAATAAATATGTACTATTGTACTATACTTACCTGAAGGTTCTATACTTACCTTGAGGTTATCTATTTCAACATTCAAGGAATCAATTTTCTCAGTATCTTCAACAAGAACTTGGGTTTCCTTCACTACGGGAGGTGCTTCTTCAATAGCCTGCTTCGCAACTTCCCTTTCTTTCGCTATGGAGGCATTAGCCTCTTCTAGTTTCTTTTGAAGTTCTTCAATTGAAGTTTGGAACTTTGTTGTCTCATGTACTTTTGCTTCTTCTATGTCAGTCTGAATACATACATGATTAACCATTTTTATTATGGATGTAATTATCAAGTTATCAAAGTGACAAAGTTTTGTTAGACAAGAAATTGAAATGGAAAAGAATATACCCTCATGCGTTTCTCTAACTGTAAGCGCCATGTGAGTTCCTCTACTTGTTTTTCAAGTTTGTTTTTGGCTTCTTTTAGTGCACCTGTCTCCCTTGCTTCCTATACAAGAATATATTCAATATTTATATGAAATAGTGAAATTTCAAGTAGAAATAGTACGATTACTTTGTAACCAGCAAAAAAAAGCGAGAAACAAACCATTTTAAGCTTCCTAAGCTCCTTCCTTGCAACTTTTCCTCTCCATCTAGTTTGTGACACAATTGCTCCTCTTTTGAGCCGCTTATAGTAAAAAGCAGCTCTATGACAACGCCACCTTGCTTGCATAAAAATGGCAGCCTTAGTTTGCCTCCTAAATCTAAATTGCTTACGGGCTGCCATTGTCCTTAATCCTGTTTGCACCACAAGGGCTGAGGTATGAAGTCTCTTATAGGATTTTCGAGCTTCAAATCGGCGTGCATTCTTCTGAATTTTCACTGCAGCTGCCTCCCTTTTCATCTCATGGAAAACCTTACATGCTAGTCTTCCTATATAGATCAATTTTTAATAAGTCAATATGAGAAAAGGGATCAATGCAAAAGGAGTTAATATAAGTACTAAAATTGTCACTAGAAAAAGAATCACCTCTGCACAATGCCTGCATAACTATCACCGCCTTTCTCAATGAAATAAAGCGTTTTCGAGTGACATGAGTTAGCACACGTCTCTGGATTATTTTGGCTGCATTGTTGAGCACCTCAGATCTCCTTGCATCCAGCTCAGCCATCTGGCCAGCTCTCAAGAACACCTTTGTTTTACCTATCTACAATTGTCATGTAATAATCAGGGTCAACAACTACCTTTGCTTCATTCATGGCTTGTCAATCTCTTCAGAGATATAACAAACTAAACCTTTTGGTATTACCTGAAACCCTTTAAGGCCCTTCTTATCCATGATTCTTTTGCAAGCAACCTTTTCATCATAGCTTCACATGCATATGGATTGTAGTGAAATGAAATCACATATTGTCTCAAGCATCCCAATTAAGTTCATAATTGAATTCAAGAAATTATTTGAGTCCAAAGAAACGGAAGATATAAGTTAAAGTTTCTTATCCTAAGAAAGTATACTTACTTCCCTTCAAGAGCCTCGGGAGCAAGCAGACCAAATCGGTTTATAAATTCAAAGAAAGCACGCCGAGTAGGGTATCCAGCACAACTGATTCTAATAGCTTCAAGGACACCCTAAAAAACAAACCAAGAGCTCAAGAATTTAAAAACTTGAAAGTTAAAAGTTTGATAAACCCATGATAAGCATCAAGTAACACATGTGTAGAATGTCGAGAAAAATAAATTCACACACACATATATATATATATATATATATATATATGTCTTAGAGCAAACTAAGTTTCACTTACACCACAACGAAGTTGTTGCATGATGTTGACATTCTCGAATATGGCTGGTTTCAGTAGGTTATTTGGCTTTACGCATCTAATGTAGTGTGGTTCAGTGGAGTTCAACGTTTCCATTAGTTGCTGAAGTTGGAGCTACATAGTCATTTGGTTGCAAAAATCACTCTCCAGTTTCAAGGATATGGATACTAAAGATAGAAAAAGCTCATGTAATTGAGTTAAAAAAAGAACTAAAGAGGTCTACCTTAAATCGTGAACCAATCGAAGAGAACTTTGAAGATTTACTCGTCTCCTCGGGAGGTGGAGGGAAAAGTCCAGCTACAAACTGACATTTAGAAGCACCTAATAGTTCTTGATGTTCAGCAACCACATAATCCTTATTTTTGTCTAAGAATTGATCAGATTGATATTGGACCTGATAAAATGAGACGAGTGAAAATAATAACATAAAATATGGATAATCCCCCACCGTAGAAGAAAAAATTAATGACACTATTGAATGAAACTTACCTCTCCGGCATAATGAGCAATAGTGAAATCTGTACGAGATAATTTTGGCTTGATAAAGCGCTTATGAGATTTGAATGTCTGGTACAACTTGTTTGAAAAGGTTTCATGTGTTGACTTTGGAAACATACTGCAAATATTTAACCCTAAGCATGAGAAATTCTCGTGGCATGTGATCAAATACTACCTAAGATATCATATCAATGCATATATGCAGAACAACATACCAAGCTTCATCAAGAAGAGCAATTATTCCTCCAGGTTTCTACAAGTCCCAACATGGGGGAGAAAAGTAAAGAGTATGTAAGAACTTGGGAGGAGATGAGCCCAAAACCAATTCAAAATAAATGGATATACATATTAGCACTATATGGACAAAAACTAATAATAAGTGGTTGTAGAATAGATACAATTACCTTTTCGATGAGATCCAAGACGTCTTGATTGTCAACAAACTCAATGTAGCTCCAATCGATTTGCTCCTTCGTATATTCTTCTTGCTCCATTTTAAAAACGTGCTGAAACCCATCACCTCCCTCTTAATAGAAATTTATTATTGAAATGCTTAACTCACTAGTTAAAAAGAAATTTGGGATATTACCTGGTTGAAATGTTGCTGCAACTTTTCGTTTGTGAAGTTGATACAAAATTGTTCAAAGCTGCACGTCATATAATTTTTTAGAGCAAGACCTCCATTTAAATGAATTAGATAGGGTTAAAAAAATTTCCAAAAATGGTTACCTGTTAGTCTTAAAGCTTTCAAAACCATATATATCTAGTACACCAATTAGACATTTTGAAGTAGGATCCTGTCCAATGGAATTGTTAATTTTGTCCACCAACCTGTGTTGATGTAGACATAGATGTAACACTATATCACTATCTTGAAATGATTTGGGGAGTTAGCATATGAAAATTGTTTATAAAAATTATATATTTTACCAGTCAAACAAACGAGAATAGATAGTCTTAGCCAAACCATCTCTACTGATTGCTGCACTTTGGGGATCCAGACTTCTTTTAATGACCTCCTCGGGAGTAATCATGACACGTTTGCACAATGCGTCTTCTAAAGCTACTGCATCACACCTGAAATAGCCAAAAACTCAAATGGTTTTATTTAACACCAAAAGCAAATCATATACTATCTCACATATGAAGTGATATAAAGAGGAAATCTCATACATAAGTAACTCTGCGGTCGTTTTGAGATGGAATTTGGCTTTTTCATCTTTAGGTACAGATGAGTCAACTTCCTTTCCTTTTGTAAAAACAATATTTCCCAAATGAAGGATTGCGGCAACAACTCTGAAAATCGCTTCCTAAAGAGAGAGTGAGTTAGAAATACGAATGGATTGGTAGTTCTAACTCAAGCAAGCTCATTGAACATACATACCTGCTCCTTTGCACTTATTCCTACAATATCCATAGCTCTTCTTGTGGCAAGGTAGTCATGGGCATCACTTATACCAACTAGTTCAAAACATTTTGACTGGTTAAGATAATGAAATGTTTTAGGATGGTCCAACTTGTATTTCTCAATCTCCTGCCAACAATAAGAAGTCATTAGTTATAAGCAGAACAATAACCCACCATTGGTCATAGAATCCCTTTCTTGTTAGTATCTAAAAAAAGTATGTTTACCTCTTGCGGTGCAGCACAAAGAAGGTAAAAGCAGTGATAGTTACGTTCAGGGTCATTTATTTGGCACACGCGAGATCTCTCCAAGAGGTAAGTCCGAATAGCAGCTCCTGAGATTCTTCCATGTTTATCAAACTGAATCTCAACGAATTTACCAAAGCGACTACACAGAATTTGTCACAACAACTTGTTAGTTATAAAACACCAATAGCCTTGGGTTAAAACTTTCAATAATGTATATAGACAAATTTTAGTTGATGCTAAGCCTTCGAAAAAAAGAGATTTTGAATATGAAATAGTTTGTCTCACCTAGAATTGTTGTTTCTGACAGTTTTAGCATTTCCAAATGCTTCAAGGACTGGATTGGACTGTAGTCATATCACAATGTCAATACAAGAAGATAGGTAGAGCAGTGCACTTGATGAAAATATACAACAAGAGAATAGGTTTTTCAAGCATACTTCAAGAACTTGTTGTTCAACTGTCCGACCTTCAGTGGCAGCACGACCACCCAAATAGGCAAGATATCTCATAAGCATTTTTGTTGTCTCAGTCTTACCTGCACCACTTTCACCACTGACCAAAATGGAATTGCTTTTTCCTTCATTGACCATTGCCCTATATTCCAAAATAAAATTATTAGTTGAATATTTTGGTACATGATAACAGTAAATAGATTAAATCAATATACATTTGCTCTAATATTTACCTATAGGCAACATCAGCAACGGCAAAAACATGAGGGCTTAGTTCCCCAAATGGTGCCCCTTTATATTGTTGCATCATGTGACCATCGTAAATATGGGGGAGTCTTTGGAATGGATTGATTGCAATAAGAATGTTTCCCGTGTAAGTCTGCAATAGAGTCACTGTGAGTATGCACATTCACACCATTGGATGTTGGTAAAAATGTATGATATCTTAAACTTATGATTAGGATAATTCTAGTTACGTAATAATAGAAAAGATAAATAAACTTACGTAGATTTCGTTTAGTTCGTATCTACTTTTCAAATTCTGCAGAACTCCAGGCTCATGCAAATAAGATAACTTTGTCATGTCATCCACTCCACCAGCAGGAGCTTCCATATCTTTAGGATATATTTTAGACAAGTTGAGAGTAACCTTGAATTTCAATAAATACAAGAAAATTTCAATAAATGATAACGATAGATCCAAATGTATATCACCAACAAAAAATTCAAACTAATTAGTACAAACAAGATGGCGAAACCCATAATATTTGATCAATGAACTATAATGAAACTAGTATAGAAGTTGGAGCAAGATAGAGATGTGCAAACAACCACAATAGTAAAAAAACCGAGTGCAATCATAAGTTACATTGTTCCTAGTTTTAAGTTGTGATTTCATGAGGAATATCATTAACAAGCTAATCCTAAAAGCATTACTAGCAGGAGCTGAAGCGTCACTGTGTAGATAATTTACAAAAAAAAACTCATGAAAATCAGACAACTTACTTTCTTTCCATTGGAGCAATCGATTTCAGCATTTTGTCCTGTAATTTTGAGTACTTGGCCATCCAACCAAGCTTGATCTTGGTCCTCAACCCAGACTTGAGAACCCTCAATTATATTCACAGAAGTTCCCTACAACAACATAAAACAAACTCATATAATTAAAATGAAGGATCATAAATCGTTACATGCAACCCCAAGATTCAGCTCATAAAAAACCATGAAGCATTTATATATTTTCTTAGAAAAAATAATCTTTCTCGATCGATCATCTCCTTCCAACAACAAACACTTCCAATTTCTAAAATATTTTATTGATAATTTTATCAATACGATCCCTTCATAACACTAATTTCTGTTTAAAAAAAACCATAACGAAATCTTGCACGAAAATGCAAAACTTCGCCACCAAATTTTGTAACATCTCATAGGGGGGATTTCCACAAACACTTTCCATGCATGTGGGAGAGAAAACATAGACATGGATGGTGACATAATGTACAAATTTTTCTGTAGAAAAACATACCATTTTCACAATAAAAGAAAATTATGCTTGCTCCCCTCAAATCCAATGCTAAGCTGAGCCAGTTTCCATGTTTCAAGCGCCAATACTAATGGTGACCTCCATCACAGAGGCATCATCATCATCACCAATTACAAAGCAAAAAAATATATAGAAAAAACAAAGAGGAGGAATATCTGGATCATGCATCTGACCCAGGTGATACCCAATTTCTGAAAAGAGGGGAAAAAACCAAATATGGCAGCACGCAAAACCAATAAACCTACAAAAAAGGAAATAGAATCGGGGGCAAAAAGAAGAAAAGTCAGGGAATTGAGGGAATTCAATTTTTTAATGAAAGAAATTAAAGAGGAAAGAATTGGACGGGGGAGTGATAATTTTGCGAGGAAAGAGAGAGAGAGAGAGTGATGACATTGGATGAACGATGAGTATCTAATATCCCCCGCAAGTTCGGTTCTTCGTCCCTTTGGTTTCTCGCCAATTCGTGGCTACTAACCAAGTATTCCATTTTCCCATATCTCTTTGATATGTGTAAAATAGTATATATTATAGTGCGTAATTTTGAATTATTATTTATTATTATTTATTACTTAACCTGAATTTGTCATTAATGATAGAAATATTATTACCTAGAAGTTAACTAAGTAAATTCGACGCAGATCAAGAAAAATATGGGGGTGGGTTTCTAGAAAAAAAATTGCTCGAACTTATCAATGTCACCATTGGCAAATCATGGGGTGCAGTAGTGATATTACTTTTACTAAAGTTTGTGTTGGGGTTTCATATTGGGTGTTACTAATTTTTCTTTTTCTTTTTCTTTCTTTCCTTCATTTATGTTTCGTCTTTTATGAACGGGGAATAAGGAAGTATCAATTCCACTTTAATACGTGATTATTACTTTTTTGTTCTCTTAGTTATTTTCATTTTGCTAACTGGTATCAATGTGCATGTGATATTTTTTTTAACATTCGTGTTTATTACTTATTAGAGTATATTACATTATTAATAGTGTTTATAGAATTTTATATTCTTTACTATTGCAAGTTAAAAAACATACCCTTCTACTATAATTTTACATAAACATATCAATTTATTATCGAAATGTAACAAGCGTACCCTTTCATCCTACATTGTGTTAACTAACTGTTAAACGGGATGGTAAATGACCAAAGTGCCCTCACTTATTAAAAAATTATTTTTATTATTTCATAAATAAAAACATGAAACATTAATAAAAAGGTAAAATAAAGACAATTTTAAAATTAAGTACCAAAAACTAAATTAATTAAATAGTTTGTGTCCAATTTCTTAAAAATATTATATTTATGTACTAAGTGAGGGGTAATTTGGTAACCTTCAGTCTCCTTTATCGGTCAACTAACGGAATTTTGGTTGGAAGGGTACGTTTGTTACGTTACAATAATAAAGAAGTACATTTGTGCTAAAAAATAGTAGAGGGGTATGTTTGTTAACTTGCAATAGTAGAGTGTTATAAAATGCTATTAATCCTTATTAATAGTATCAAAATAAATTGATTTGAGGAAGGTGACTCAATAATCCTCTTTTGTGGTGGAATTATGGTTGGCTTATCGATTATCGTCATTGTGATTTTGAGTTAGATAATTCCTGATAAAATCTAGAACAGAGATTTATGCTTAAGAGTAAAAGGGAAAAATGAGACGAGCTCTTCTTTCTCTCTCCTTCCTTTTTTCTCTCAACAAAATCTAGGTTTTCCAGGGCGCGATGGCGGCCTCTCATCTGATGATGATTCGACCTGTGAGAATGTGAGAGCTTGACATGGGCTCAATTGTTTAAGGTCAACCCAATGAATGGCTTCAATATCAACCTCTAGAGCATGTGAATGATGGTTTCGTCTACCGAAGGAAGTGAAGGAGAATGGTGTTTAGCAATGGAAGGATGCTCTCATCATCCAGTTCGTGGGAGCCCGTCCCAAAGTTCAAGCGCTTCAATCTGGGCAAATCGCATAAGGGGGAGAGATGGTATGGTCCGCATTTCGCGATTTGATCCAAAACTTTTTATGTTTCAATCTTTGTCTTTTGTGTCTTGCAAATGGGGTTTGCAATCGGGACCATGACATCATTTGGGTGATCCGATCTTCTTCCGCAAATGGTGTCCGAGCATTTAGCCAGTGGTACCGAAAGTGGAACCTCTTCCAATTTGGGTGCGATTATGGGGGCTACCTTTGGAATACTTGTTTCATCAAGGAATTGAATGGGTTACCAAGCCAATGCATATGGACCAGAAAATAAGGGTGGGTTGTGAGCTAGGTATCACTCGGGCTTGCATTGAGAAGAGAGCGATTTCCCCTTTCTAACAAGGGTTAAAATGTATCTAGATGAAGATCCAGCTTTTGACCTAGAGGTTGAATACTCAAACCTTCCTCAGGTGTGCTTTAAATGTTGTATATTTGGGCATAATTGTGAGCAGAGTCCTCAAAATCACTGGGTTCCAAGGCAAAAAGAGATGGAGGTAGAAGGTGATTTGCAAAGTGAAGGACTGATTCAGCCCAAATGTACTCATTTTACCCCTCATTTCTTATTCGTTTAGCTTAGTATTTCATCATTACTCGACATATTTCACGTTAGGTTGTGTTGTTTTGATAGATTTCAGGTCCTAGCACGTGTGGAAGGGTCGAGGACGAGTTTTGAGATATTTGGAGGTCAAAAAGTGCCAAAACTAAAGAAAAGTCCGAAGTCCGTGACAATTGCCTCGTAGTAGGGAAGTGAAGGCGTCCCATGAAACAGTCGCAGTTCACGGCCGGACAAGGAAGTTCATGGTCTCCTAACACCGTGAACATGGACCACAATCCGTGAATATCGAGCAGTCAAGTGAGGTTCAAGAAGTTATTGACGACAAGGCAGTTCACGGTCTCTAACACCGTGAACTGGGGCCATTGACTGTGAACCCAGCAGAGTGAAGCGGCGCGTTTTGGGACGACACTGAGTTCACGGACGCGTTTAGGTGTTCACGGCCGTGAACTGGCCAACGCGTCCGTGAACTGGTCGCTTTCGCGTAAATATGAAGACATCAGCGGGGAGAGAGAAGGGGGAGCTGGTTTTTGGAGAAGAAACACTTTTTTCTCTAGGGTTTCAACCCAAACACCAAAGGGGAGTTCTAGTTAGAGAGAGAGAGAGAGAGAGAGAGAGAGAGAGAGAGAGTGCTAGAGTGATCTTGGAGCATTATTGGAGGCTTGGGTGGAAGATTCAAGCCTAGAAGAATATCTTGAGCTCAAATTTGTGATCCCTCTCTCTCTCTCTAGAAACTCACTCTCTTCTCTTGGGTAGTGTAGATCCCTAACTAATATTTTGTAATTACTTGTTTAGATTGAATGATTAAGTGTGGGTTTGCATTAATTTGAGTATTAGAGGTGTTTTCATGGTGATTGTGCATGATCGTGCTTAGCAATCTAAGGGTTGTGCATAATTGTGCTTAGCACCCTTAGGTTTGTGCATGTTGGTGCTAGCAATCTAATTAGCCACCTTACCCTAGCTTAGAGAGGAAAATCCACCTTCCAAGGAGACTCAATCGAGTTGGTTTTTCTTCCGATTTCTAAGCCACCTAAACTAGGTTAAGTTAGGGAAACCCTCAATATTGAGTTAAGCAAGTCGGTTAATTGCGATTAAGTCATCCGACCTTAAAGTTGAGTGAGGGAGTAAGTCAACTACCGATTGCAGAAACCGAGAGGGTCGAGTGACATGACCTTTCATGCTTACCTCGGTTTAGCAATTGAGATTGTGGTCTCCGACCACATATGCATCCCTCTGCGGTTCACGGTTATGACTTCATTCAATCCAACGAGTCACGGTAGCTAGTTAGGGGAAGCAACTCCCGGGTGAAGCTCCCTTAGTTAGGATTTTCCTTTATTTACTTTTCCTTGATAGTTTAGTTTGTAGTTACATTAGTTATAATCCCAAAAGTTGCTTGCTAGATAACAACCTAAGCGATTGAAGTAGAGGTACATGGATCGGCCCGGGTTGACAATTTAAATACTTGCTCTATACTGCACCCGGCTAGAGTTCAAAAACTTGGGCTCTAGTCGGGATTAATTTGTGGTGTAGTTTCGTGCGAGTCAAGTTTTTGGCGTCGTTGCCGTGAACCGCGATCCATTATTTTGAAAAGGTCGCTTAGTGTTAATCTAGCATTTTCTATCTTGCCTTTTTGTTTATGTTTTGTGTTTCGTGTTGTGTTTTGTTTACCCACTCTTCGTCTTGAAGGGTGGTTTGTGTTTGTTTGATTTTGTTTTGTGTTTATGTTTATGTAGGTTGAATCATGGATTCCAATGGCTTCTACAACATGTGGGGGTATCCACAACCACCCGAATGGGGGTACCCCGGAGCTTCATGGAGTAACCAAGAAGATGGAAGCCAAGGAACCGGGTTCTATGATCAGCGTCCCTTCCACGACGAACAAGCATACCATTGGGGATTTTAAGAAGCTCCCCCATATGAAGAAAACTTCCCTCCTCAAGTCGAGGAGAAATCCAAGTTGGAGTTGGCAATGAAAGCTTTCATGGGAAAATCATCACGACCATGTGCCACTCTACAACCGTAGCCAAAGAGCAAATTAGAGCTCATGGTGGAGCAATTTTCCCGGGGTACCGACGAAGGATGCTACAATTCGGATCTTCCCATCGCCGGCCCTATCGAATCCACCTTTCATCAGGAGGCGGAGGAGCTCCGTCGACGCACGGAGAGGCAAGGAGAGCTTATTGAGCAAGCACGTGCACAGCTTGCTCACAATCGCCTCCTACCATTGGAAGAAAGAGAGGAAGTCAAAGAGGCGAGCCATGAGAATTTTGGAAGAACGATGTACACCATTCAGCTTGAACCCGTTCGTCAGCTGCAGAAAACGGGAGAGATGTACCCGGGCCTCCTCATCCTTCAAGCCATGGAACTGGATGGAAGATGTAATGAGCTGAATCCAGCATGGCTTGATTTCGAAGTTATTTGCTGGAATAGGCGGGTAGAGGATGACCGGGCGGATGTCAGCAATCCGAGGAGTGTAGTAGTACTCCAAGGTGGGACCCGGCTGCGGTGGATGATGAACTCCATGATCCTGGGGTATGGGGTTTTTCCCTAGGACCTGATTCACCGGGGGAGCCTGCTGAGGAATCCCTTGGTGTTGATTGTAGTCCTCCATCTCGTACTCCTCCTCAGAATCACTGCTCACGTGGCCGTCTATGCGCTCTTCCGTAGCCAGTCTAGCTCGCTGTTGTCTCCTGAGCTGGCGACAGGTGCGGTCAATCTCTGGATTCAACGGCAGTAAACCTCATGACTGGCTACGGGTCATGCACTACCTGCACACACTCAAGCAAGCAAACCCGTGAAGGCACAAGTGGGAAAAAGCAAAAATGCAAAAAGAAAAGCTAAATTAACAGAAATCACTTTTCTTCAACAACCTAGCCGTCCCCGGCAACGGCGCCAAAAACTTGACTCGACTCTACTGTCACTCCAGGAATTGGCCAAGTGTAACCACTTCCTAAAGCGTAGTATAGCGGGTTTGGGTTTAATTATCAACCCGGGTCCTAGATTTGATGACTACTCAGTGAATTCTTGTTATCTAGCAATGAAACTGGAATGCAAGGCTAAACTACCAAGTACTTGGGTTCATACAATCAAACCTAACATACAAATTTAGGGTTCTCCATACCCAGATGAATGGGAGAACTACTCCATGGAGAAAGAAGCAAAAGCAGAATCAGACGCGGAATTCATACTGTGAAGGATGGATTCCTGCTCCTGGACGTTGATCGGCACTTCTCCAAGCTCAAACTGGCCTCCAATGGTGTTGAAGATCAATCTATGGCACTTGGAGACTCTTGTTCGTCACTTTTTCTCTCTAGGAATCGCTCTATCTCTCTCAAAACTCGAATCCCCTTCTGTTTGGCTGAAAATCTGCTTAAAAAGGCATCAGTGGCCAAAGCACGGTCGAGGGCACGGCCGTGCTTTGCCTCAGCCCGCCCGTG